TAATTTATCCATGTATTAGGGATTTCTCCCTCGTAAACTAAATCATTCAATAATAATAATTCTCTTATTAAACAAAACTACAGCCAATATCTAATTGACGTATTGTGAAAAAAATGTACTTATTAAGAATGTAGTTTGAATGGAACAAACGAGCTCCAAAATAGTTCAATTTTTTATTCGTGTCATATTTTATTTTCTTTCAGTAGTAATTTGTTGAGTGTGTGCCGTTTACTTATTTTTAGCAAGGCCATTGGCATAAAAAATGGCATGCGAGAAGAAGCATACCCTAGTCAACTCTCCCTAGAAGAATCTCCATGGAGTCCCTAGGAATTTCGCTGTTTTGCGGGGACTCCCCAGAGAGTCGTCGGGTGAGAGTGAATTAGGAAAGTTTTTAATCATGTCTTTTGCAGTAGTGTCAAACTTGAAACTTGAATTCACTTGAAAATAGAAAATTTCAACTTTCAACTCATAGCGATTTATGTATGAGTCACGATTATTCAGAATACTATTGGTTTAAAAGCTGAACATTTCAATTTTCAATTGAATTCATGTTTCAAGTTTGACATATATGGTCTTTTGTGTCCATACGACCGGATATCGGCTTCTTCTTACAAATAAAAGCTGCTTTTTCTTTCGTTGATAATTATTTTTCTCTGCATAATCTTTACTTATATGAATTTTAAAAGAATGCATATACTATGTTTAACATGGTCCGATTTTTCTGAGTAATTTTCTTCTGTAAGATGTCAAATTTGCAAGTTTTTAGGAAGGATCTGAGTTATTTTATGGTTTTAACTGTTATCTACGAAATCACATTCTAGTCTTTGAATATTTATGAAATCCTGTAACTTCGCTCCTCTTAAAGAAATTAGATGAAAAAATGAGATGATGAGTTTTTTTCATTTATTAAGCTAGAGACATCGAATAATAATAATTGATTATTACGTTCTACTCTTTTCTGATAATTAATTTATACCAAGGTTTAATATTAACAATTATCCAAATAAACATAAAGAATATCAAAAGTTATATCGATATTGAATTAACAGACAACTCTTCGAAAGGAAAAATGATAATTTTTATCAATTTTGCAGCAGTAACAATTATTCTTATTGATCCGTTGACTTGTATCAGGATAAAATAGCAGCGATAAAGTTATAAAATTGCTATTCAATAACCATTCAATTATTTGTTATTTATAAATTGGCCAGTTTTAGTTTATTTTTTTCTAATAAATTAAAGTAACGTAAAATTCTTTGAAGAGTGCAAACCATGATAATAAATGATGAATATGCAAGTACATTTTCTACGTGTATATATCCACATCATAAAAATACGGAGAAAAAAAGTCTATCAAGAAAAAAACCGAGCGAATATATATGTTTTTTGTTGCCATTAGACGCGTTCGTTAAACAAATATCAAGCAAACCAATTAAATCATATGTACCTGTTTGATCCCATTGAAAAACAAAACAAAAAACGCAAAAAATTATTAATTGGCCTATAAAGTTTTTATTTCGTTTTATGTTATATAATTTATTTTTTTTGTTGTAACGAATTTGCTAACCAATCCATAGCTTCATTTAGTCCAGTACCTTGAACAGCTGACGTTTTAAATATTTGATATTTTCGATTTTTTAACGATGTTAAACCAAGTGCATTTGCTACTTCACTAACAGTCATACAACCATCAAGATCTTGTTTATTAGCAAATACACATAGCACAGCATTTTTGAGTTCATCTTCTTCAAGCATCGAAACAAGTTCATGTTTTGATATGCCGATACGATCACGATCCATTGAATCAATAACATATATAATTGCATCGGTATTTGAATAATAACAACGCCAATACGGACGGATGGATGTTTGACCACCTTGAAAATAAAATAAAATAAAAATAAAATTCGATATTTTTACCGAATGAATTTTTACCAAGATCCCAAACTTGAAATTTTAAATTTTTATACTGTACAGTTTCAACATTGAAACCAATCGTTGGAATCGTTGTCACAACTTCACTGACTTGAAGACGATAAAGTATTGTTGTTTTGCCTGCACCATCAAGACCCAAAATAAGTATGCGTCGTTCTTTACTACCAAATAGGCCAGAAAAAACACTTAATAGACTGCCCATTTGTAAATGATTATTGTTTTCTATTCTGATATAATTATTCAAAGTAAAATTCCTAGTTATATAGCACGAAAATAATTAAATTCTGATTATTAACATCTATAAGACAAATAGAATATTCTTGTTCATATATTGAATTGTCAAAAAAAAACAACAACCGAAGGAGAAAAGAAAAAAATTTTCTTCTATTTTGAAGCAAATAAATCGTTAACGTTCGATGTCGTCAGCCACTGGCTGGCGCGCGTCAGAGGCGATCATAATAGTTTTGGATGATTGGTCATTAAGATTCATACCATGCGTCTAGCTATCTACAATTAAGACATAACTAAGCGGTTCCATTTAGGCTCTTGTACCAGGCGAAGAGGAGAAAATTATTAAAAGCTTCTTGGAATTGAAATATTTTGATAGAGGACGCTAATCTATGACCAATAATAACAAACATCTATATAGAACATAAAGTATAATCGAATACAAAAATGTTCATTGTAAATCTAATTCTTTTTATATGTTTTGAAGATCATTGTTAAACTTATCTTAGATAATCAAAGTAATGGATTTACAATTGATGATGGTAATTAGCTGCAGAAAATAAATATTTTCATTCAAGGAGTTCATGTTCAAAATTTACCCCACACTATACTATAGAGCAGTGACAATGAACATGCATAGATACAGAAAACTGTAATTCATCGTTGCGTGCATGTAGGATAAGAAACAGGCTATTGATAGATTCTATGTAGTGGAAGATTTTAGCTAGACTAATTCACAGATAACACATCACATGTATTACTATGTTCTCATGTTAGATGTCACTTTTTTGAACTACTACTAAAAATACTGAGGGCTCTTGTCCAGCATGACTCACAAAAAATTCTATCAGTAGTCACGATTATCTTCAATGCTTTTGGAAGGTAGAAGAATCAATATCTAAGCTCAAAGGACATGAATACTCACACTAGAAAAAAATTAAAAATAGTTCTCTTCGATATAGAGATTTTTGTTTTCAAAATCCACAAAAAGAGTTTCAGACTCATTACTCTTTTTAAATCAGTGGGTCTCAAGTACTATTTCTACTAAGTTCTATGATCTTAATCAGAATTTTACCCACTTCCACTCAACTCCAGAGAGCATTGGCCAGTATAATATGGTTTTATTTTCAACGAGTAATTCAATTAGATATTTGTAAGGTGATTAATTTTAACCTTCTTCTACTTATCGACGCTGACTTCTATCAAAGCCTGTCAAAACTTAGAATTTTCCGAAAGATTATACAATGTCTGATAGTACTATCGGATTGTGAAAAGCATAGAAATCCTAATCGAGAATCGGAATTTGATTTTTGTGTGTGTACTGTAACTGATCCCATTTCTTAGAATACTATACACGAAACTGGATTCTTATAAAGTGATTCCTCAAATGCTGAATATTTTACTGCAAATAGTTACATAAACAAGTTCTCCTACAATTACCCCTTTGACGTATTGGTCTTAGTAGTTTACTGATTTGCACAATCTTTTTCTAGTGGTGTGAAAAGACTATTCTTGACCATCAAATCCACTGAGAGTAATATTCAATGTAGTTTCTAAAAGACTAAACTTCTCTGCATCAGCTAAGATCATTCGATTATCTTGAATTTGATCGAAAGTTAAAAATGTTGAAACTGAGGTGATACTTCCGTACATTTGTTTTTCTTTGTGAAAATGAATCAGCCAGTAGACTCCATTAAAGCACAAGGTTTATTATTAAAAGAAGACTAACAGACAGTCTAAAACGTTTTTTGGGAATGATTGTTAATCCATCTTTAAACAATGTGCTATCTGCTTGATTAAAACTTCTTTTTTTACCACAAATAAAGACAAAATTTCAAGGAATTCACATGGTGTAATGAGACAGTTGCTGTATATATCATACAACGTTTTTATTTGACTTTATAATGTTGTTGTTCTTGTGTCTTTCGGCTTCGGTACACCAGATGGCCATTCAAATTTATACCTTCTGTATTCGAATTAATGAAATATCAATCATCGTTGATGATAGATATTGAATCAGAGGGAGCCATCACTTTTATGTTGTTTCTCGAATAATGCATGGTTCAAGATTCTTATTCGTATTCTTCTTTGTCCATTTCTTTGTACTGAATGAACAATAGTGTGATAGAGATGGATCATAAATTTACAATAAGATAAGTCAATATTCGTCGTGAAATAATGACATCTTCATCACACACTTTTGCAAACAGTCTTCATTTAAAATACTCTCTTTTACAACAAAGTTTTATTTCAATGTTCGTATTTTCGACATTTTCCTTTTCGGAATTTTTGCTTTCGACCAAATTCAAGTTTACCGATCATTCTTTGGATGATAAAACAAAAGCACTACTTGCTGGTGAGTATTTTCGAATACTTAAGCACAGTTAACTAAATATTGTCAGAAGCAAGTGAATAGACTCAAAAAGTGTCCTAATCAGTCAGTTACGATCAAATGGAAAGCAATCAATAATTTTCGATCAATATTAATAACCAAAAGTCTGATTGCTCGATCGATTACAACTGAGACACATTCGAAATCGTGTGATGCTCTAAACGTGTAATGTCAACGAGAGAACTTTATGCATATTAATAAATAATTATTTATTTTGTCATAAATAAAATCTTAAATAAATAAAGTCTCCATATTCAAATGATAAATCAAGATTAAGCGGGCATAATATGTCTTGAAGATTCCAATCCAAATGATTACCAATGAAAGAGACAAGCTTGTGCTAATATAAGTATACTTGTTATCATGACTGTAAATAAAAAGAATATCAGGTAATTATTTATATTTCATGTGCAAAAATTATCGAAATTCAACTAACTTCTATTCATTATTGGCAACGTCTTTGAGGAATTTGATGTAGGAGTCGTTGTGTTCGTTGCGGATACAGTGTTCGCTGCGGATGAGGTGTTCGCTGCGGACGAGGTGTTCGCTGCGAACGAGATGTTCGCTGCGGACGAGATGTTCGCTGCGGACGAGATGTTCGCTGCGGACGAGATGTTCGCTGCGGATGAGGTGTTCGCTGCGGATGAGGTNGGCGAGGTATTCTCTGCGGGCGAGGTATTCTCTGCGGGCGAGGTGTTCGCTGCGGGCGAGGTATTCTCTGCGGGCGAGGTATTCGCTGCGGATGAGGTATTCGCTGTGGGTGAAATGTTCACTGCGATTACGATGTTCGGTGACGTGTCGGCTAATAATACCGTTGTCGATTCATCTGCAGTTGCATTGCCTGCTTCCAAAGAAGATATATTTATCAGTAGTATGATCATACATGATAAAATCAGTAAAGAAACGTTTCTTTGTATCACGTCCATGCTGCTGCCGTTTTTGAATAATCGAAATAAAAAACTATACTGGCGTGCATGGCTCTTATATATACAGACTTGCGAACAGCTTCGTCTTACTGATCGAAGGAGATTCATTGATGGAAATATTGTCAATGGATATTTGCCATCGATTATCCTACTTTAACGATATGTGTTCATTGATGCGTTCTAGTAAATAAATAACAACACATTTATCGATATGATTAACATAAGTTTTTGTTTCTATATTACACTTTTCTTCTTCTGCGACTTCCTGACTTCGAATAATCAATGCTTTGGGCAAAGTACATTGATGACTGATTTGTCGTTATATTGGATCACAGAAAAAGAAAAAGTTGACTAAATGCCTACTCAAAATTATCGATACCACATATCCTAAAATTCCTTTTAATTCGCTTGAATTATATTTCTCGACTAAATTGAAAATAATAACAGCTAGAAACAGTATTTTGATCATTTTTTTATTTGCTATATTTTTTCAACGAGACCCTACACGAAGCAAAAATTGACACAACACAAATAAACAAGCGGCAGATATATACCAGGAAGTGTTTCAGTTATTATTATCAAACATGCAGATATTTTCATAGCTCATAATTAATTCCAAATCTTTATTGTCTTGAAAATTCGAAAACACAAGAAGAGACTAACTTCTAGTCAAAATCAATGATGCTCTAGAAGCTGCTGTTTACGGCAGTATATATTTCTTCAGCACGACCAGCTGCTGCAACAAACAATTGATCAGTAACTAAAAACAAGTGCTTCACCTTGAATCAAAGAAAATATTTCATAGAAAAACATTTTTGACTTCTGAGTTGAGATGAATATCAGTCTTGTATACATCAGTAAGGCAGAATAAAAACATTCTCCCACAGGTGAAATGCACCATTTTTTATTTACTACAGTGCTTTATGTCGTTGAGATTCTATTTACTACATGATGCCATATTTTTAGATAACAAATGACAAACAAACCAAAAACGAAAGTCACCCGACATACTTGAAAGCTACGCCAAGCAACGTAATGATTTATGAAGCAGAGCTCCATTATATAGAAGCGCACAATTTCTTAGTCGCAAAAGTTTCACAGTTAGTAGTGATGCTCGCCCATCCACAGTTGTTCTATTGGGATCGCATGTGCATAAAATATTTTTCAGAGTATCTTTCACAAGAAGTTTCATCATCTCGATTTTAAAAACACTGATTTCCATTTGAAACGATAGCATAAAGAACTAAAATAATTACATGAATTCGCAATGTACAAGGAGTTTAGTTATGTCACATAAAAATTGTATCGAATTTGTCGAACTGATTTCAGTTATAGAGGATAATCTCCATATTAGTTAGGCATAATACCATTACCTTTTCATGATGATTCTTGTTTTTTTCCTTGAAAAAATCTATTCAATCGTATTTGAAAAGAGAAAAATTGAACGTTTAAGACCTTCAATAGCGTTCCAGTTATTCTTTACAATTATCTATCTGCGCAATATGAAAAAGAAAACGATCGATTAGCAGCAATGATATTGAAACTCATTATCCCAACATTAAATGGCATTAAATGCGAAAAAGTCAGAAGATTCTTCATAAAATTCCAGCACCTGACATCCTTATTATACGAAATAGAATAGAGACAAACTAGTAGAACTTCTTCGAACGAATGTAATTTTGTTTTGGCTGATCTATTTCGAAGACAACTAAAAGTTTTGTTGAGACAACAATCTACCTATTTCTACTGCCAAATAAATGATAATAAGACCTTTAGCAATGGAGTGCATAAGGGTGAGAGCTAGAGATAATTTATAGATTTTCTCAAAAATGAACAAGTGGCATATTCATTGTAGTATTCAAAAAAGAAAATTTAAGAACTTTCATGCAGGAACACGTATTCGTTTTTCATTTGAACCTTTTTCGTCTGATTTCGTAAAAATTGCGACAAAAGATATTTCTTCAATAAGTTGTATGCTTACCTATTTTAATCTTCTTGTAGTGTACGCATTCGAAATTATAGAAATATCTCTTTATTTTTTGTTCATAGCTGTGCAAATCGTTCTCCTAAGATTGATTTATCAAGTGGATCATCTCAACGTTGAACAACTCCAGCAAAAGCTGCGTGTTTTCTAATTGACCGTTGTATCTATGAATTAGTTTAGTCGGTGCTTGTATTTTTCTTTTGCTTATTTATTCAATGTACTAATAAATCTCACAGTAATGAAAGCCCTAAACATTAGGATAACCCAATAGTACATACGGATAACGGGTCTCTAGTTTATTGAAAGACAAGTTAAAAAGTACAGAAGATTTGGCAATGCTAAAATGTGTATCAACTGAAATTTTTCCTTAGCATTTCACAAGGAATCCTTTTATGTTAATTCAATTCATACTTAATTCTAATTGGAAAGTGAGCGAGTTGTGTTGCATGGTTTCTTATTGATAAAGTAAATCAATTGAAGTATGTGTTAACTACCCCATCATGTAGCAGAAAGAAAATAACGATATTGAACGAGATGATTGATGATTTGAAAAATATTTTCAACGATTAAAGTCGAACAAGCGTGAGCAACAGATGTTGCATATTCGAAAGATTTGAGTCTCGTTTGCATTGAAAGCTATGAGGAGCTATCTGGACGCAATCATGGCTATGTGGTTTGACTACTTTCGAATTTACTGTTATCTGATTTTATAAAAAAGTTTATTCAGTACAGAAACTTACTTATTTTAGATGTTTATCTATCTATTAAGATAGACATAGCGAACAGTTGATTTGGTAGTTCTTAGCAGATTTTTTATCGACAGAGAACACTATATGAAAATATATGAATCATGAACCCGAATGAAAGATGAACTATAAAATAATCATGATCTATTGGTACTCATCAGGAAAAACTTGATAAAAAAAGATCCAACTACATCACATGGCGATGGGCTTCACAAAATTGAATAGCAGAAGACAAGCTTTTATTGGACGTAACAGTGTTCTCAGCATAAAATACAAATTTCAACTGAATCTCATTTAATTTTCAAACATCGCGTTGCCTTTCACAACTAACTTATGTATCTATCGACGTTCATTGTAACTATTTGATTCGACCTTAGAGAGTTGTAACAGTAAAGTTCGCTATTTTCAGTATTTTTGTCATGTAATGATGTTCTTGCTCCAGAACCTATGACGGAAAATCATAGATTACTGTCAGTCAGTTCGAATGATATCGAGTCTCATTTTATTTTGTCGATCACTAAACATCAGTGCAATCGTTGATAATTTGAACTGCAGCTTTCTGCGACAAAATATATTTCGCATCATACTTAATCTAAATCATTACATGTGTCTATTCTCTATTGATGATAATATTGTACAAAGATAAACTGAATAATGATATTCAAAAATGCTATGAAATAGTTGCTGACTCATTAGTACTCACTAGCTGTCTATAGCTGAAGCTATTCAATCATATTGTGATTAGTTTTTGTTGCAAACATATATGCAAGGATTGATTATAGCCTATTTACAAATATTGAAGAACCGTAGCTCGCTATTTTTCATTTTATTTCGATTGATTTACTCACAAAATCGATATTTCGTGATGTTCAACTACGACTTTTTAATTATTTTTAATTGTAAAAGTAAAATTATCAAAAGAAAGAGTACTCGTCTTATTCATTCGTCGACAAAATTAGCACAATGGTTGAGTCTAATGTATTTGTAGAATACTATATATTTCATTACAGAAACGTACAGATACGTTGCTATAAGAAAAATTAAAATATGATATGATGGAAGTAAAACAAAAGAGCAAATATTAGTAGCAGATATCTGATCTACGCCTATCAGACTTCCAGAATCTATGAAAATGAGTGCTATCTCTTTGGTACCACATCAATTTATAAAAAAAGAGTATTTATGAACTATTCTTGATCACTATTGTATGTAGCTCGACTAATTCGTGGCAACATCAAGACAAAACATTGAATATAAGTTTTGTGGTAAACGGCAAGATGCTCCCCGGACTTTTGCTCCCCAGTTACATTTGCTCCCCGGACACTTGTTCCCTAACTGTATTTAACAAAAATGTTAATCAGCTCGAGATTAAGATATAAATTTATTTACTTGTGGGTGTGGGCGTGGGTGAGTGAAGACGATAGCCATTTGTCCATACTTGCACTGATACACTCACATTGATACACCCATACCCTCAAATAAATAAATTTATATCTTAATCTCGTGCTGATTAACATTTTTGTTAAATACAGTTAGGAAGCAAGAGT